TCACAATCCCGTTCAATAGGTTCCTCCGTACATATTTGGAAGCTTAAGCTTCTCTTTCCCATTCACAAGAAGGGTCTCAAAAAAGCAGTTGGCAATTACCGCTCAATACGTTTGACTTGTTCAGCATGCGAAGTTCTACAAAGCATACTTTGTGAATGTATAACCATATTACTGAGCCAAATGAACTGCCAAGGCACAAAATGGCTTTCTTAGCAGGAGATCAACAATGTCTTCTCTTATGTCCTCGCTTGCGCTTTGGCATAGAGAATTAAATCGACGCTGTCATGTCTCTGCATATTTTGTTGACTCCCTCAAATCCATGCCTATACCGCTGCTTCTACTTAAAGGCAGCGGCCCTGCAGAATCTCGTTTTTCAGTTCTTCACCTTTTCGGATCCTTCTCGTCATGAGGAACTAAGATCTGGGCTCTTCAGCGCATGAAAATGGCAATATGCTCCTTTTCCGAAGCGTTCTAGGTTCGCATTCAGTGAAGGTACGCCGCAAAAAGCCGCGGCCCGCCTTTTATGTTCCAAGCCCCGCCCTCTTCTTCACTAAAGGCTGACCTGGAAAGCTTTGGAAAAAGCGCATTTTGTCATTTTCAGGCGCTGAAAAGCCCAGATATGGGTTTCTCATGGCGAGAAGTCCCCGAAAACGTGAAGAACTGGAAAACGAAATTCTGCCGAGCCTCTGCCTTTAAGCTGCGAGCCTATAGCATACAAAGTTCATTGCTCAACTTTTTTCTTCTCTCAATCGTTGACAACACCGCCATCATAAAGAACGTTAAAGGCATAGTCATTTCTGAGCTAGGGGTCTTGAGTTTTGGCAGCTTATGATAGCGAGACCTTCTACAAAGGCAATGCCCAAGCCGCGGCGCAAAATGTCGCTTCGGAGCGAAAAAATCGTTTTAAAAACGGCCACACTATTCCTGCGATTCCTGCAATTCCTGCGATTTTTGTGATTCTTGCGGGTCTCGTAGCAATGTTCATTGCTTTTTATTGAAGGCAGCGTCCGTGCAAAATTTCGATGGAACTTTTTTTTTGTACCTGGGCTCATTCCTCCCGCTGGTTGTGAAAATGCAGCTTGGAGGGCTCGAAAACGCCTGAAACGGGCTTTTCCACAAGCTCTTGATTTGAATTGTCGCCTGCCGCCAAGGCTAAGGCCTAAGGCATACCTCACGCGATATTAGTCGCTGCGCGAATTGGCACTGCAACGACTCTCCATAGCTGGTCGTAAACGCACTTTGCTTGGGCCAGACTTGCTGCGTTTGTTACAATTTACGGAATCTACGCACCCATGCTAAGAGCCTCGCATGCTTAATCTCTAGACATCTGGCAAATCGCCAAGTCGCGAGGATGTGGCGACTTCGCGAAATCGCAAGAGGTATGCCTTAGGCCTAAGACGCAGAGTCTTTGTGGGACCCTACGTCTTGACCGTGTGCGGTATGCGTACTCTGGCTTATCGGACTAACTCGTCACCGGGGTCGCCGGGGCGTCCCGGTCGCCACTTCTTAGGCGGATTTCCCGCTTCAGAAGCAAATTGATGCATTGCCAGTCGGGCAAGAGCCTTACCAGGACGGGCGCCCCTGTACTCTGAATTTTCGTATCTGCCCGGAGGCTGCCTTCATTGTATCTTGAAATTCGTAAAGCGCTTTGTAGTGCAGCACATCGGAAGTTGAAGAATCGAGGAAATGCAGGAGTTACAGGAATTGTAGGAATTATCTACTGGAATAGTATGGCCGGTCCCTTCATGCATGAGGATCCCAAGTCGACACCTCTTCCCCCACTAGTCCCCGCCCAACCCTACGCGCTCACCCAATCACCGTTCCGGAAAGCTGGCCTTCATGTTCTCCGAAACGAGGATTGTCGGGAATTTTTGCGGAATCTCCTCTTCATATTCGGAATCAGAAACGTGAAAAGGCCCCGGAGTGATCAAATCATGAAAGTCTAGAATCTAGGTGGACGGTGACCTTAATTCACGCGTTTATAATACAATCAGCAGTGTACCTCAGGGATCAGTACTTGACTTCTTGCTCTTTTTCATATACTGACCTTCCTGCGCTCTCTCAGCAATACCATATGTTCCATTCGCGCTGATAAAAACTCTTACTTTAAATATGCCGCTCTCTTACAAGGAGCTAAAGCCCTTGTACGTGGTCGTCAATATGGCAGCTTAATAATTTCAAATAGAAAACCTGTGTTATGACTTTTGTAAGAACCAACATATATCCGAGTTTATGGTTGATAGTTCCATTTTGCATCATACACGTTCAGTTCGAGGTTTGGGTGTTGACTGTAAAACTATTAGACTTCCGTGCACATTTCAGAGATTGTCTCGAAAGTCAAATGCAAGTCCATCAAACTATTAGGGTGATCCAAAATTAATGGGGCACCTTGATTTTTTGAACATTCTTCAAGATTTCTTTCTGATTAGCTATGAACAACCAGCAATTTGAACGCTTTTGTATAAAGTCCTTTGCAGATTATTTTGACAGCACCTTGCAGCACCTCACCGACACTTCTTCGAGCGGCGCTTCAAAGAAGTCAGACAGACTTTTTTGAACGCCATCCAAATTTGCGCTACTGCACCCGAAAGTCCCTCGACATATGGCATACCATTCGAAAGAGCTTCCAAGCTCTTTCTAATGATTACTTGAATATTTAAAATTGCCTATTATTTCATGTAAAAAATGCACTTTATTCGAAAAAGTGCGGTGTTCGGCGCAGATTTTCAGACTAAAAATCATGTTTCGGCCCATAATTTTTTGAAAATGAGAAAAGTCGAAGTAACTTGAATATACATGGATAGAGCGTAAAAAGTACTATCAGAAAGCAACTGTTAAGGTTGAGCTTATTTGATTACCTTGATGAAAGGATAAGTAATATGTCTCTTGATAGCTATATCCTCTGTTCTAAAGCCTTGGGACCACCGAGCTATCGTGGATTTGGTGACAGCCCCGTCACCCATTATTGCGCAGATATCTTTGGTGGGCTCACTTGTTCTACTGCGGCGCTGCTGCTCAAAGTTCAAAATTACTTGAAGTGATGAGCTTTAGTTTTGAGCCCTTATAAAAATAACGCCATGTGACAGTGCCCAACTATAGACCTCCATCAGAAGGTTTTGTTATGTACTAACATCTGCCAAAACTTGGATTTCCAGTTAGCTTTTCTACTTGAGAAAACTACATTTATTCTCTAGGTGCCCCATTACTTTTGGATCACCCCAATATACCCTCATAGCATGCAGCAGTCGAGATCCCATACTTCTTTTTAAGCTTTTTATAACTTGTGTTAGACCCACACAATACTGCTCGCCTCCGTTATCTCCTCAGGCTAGAGCACAGATTGAAGATCTTTGCTAGGAAAGGCCTCTTTGAACTTCTGTATCACGGCAGAAACAGAAAATCACAAATTCTAACACTTGAAGATAGAAGGATTCTTGGCGATGTTTCATCTATTAGCTTACCACAAAAAACTTAACCTCAACCTTCTTGATAGTTTTGAACAACCACAGCGAACAAATCTGACCAGAGGCCAGATGTTCAAGATTAAATTCGGGAAAGTCAGCCCTTCTCTTTATGAACAAAGCTTCACCGGATGTGTGCAGATAACCTGGAATGGACTAAGTAAATGGTCTTGATCTCAGGTTTTTAGAGCAATCTTCCACGCATTTTTTTATTCCCATTTGCTTGAATATCTCCAATTTCGTAATATGGTGATCTCCTCTTGGATGCGCAAATCGTTGGGTTGTGTTTTGTCTTTTGTTTGTTATCTTATGTGTTACTGAATCAACAAAACAAATCAAACTACTCCACAGTCCTCTCAGCATATGAAAAAGTTAGATTTGGTATCAGTGTTTCGTTCCGCTTCAAATTTCGCGGGAAATGATACTTTTCTTCTGACCATCTCTGTTAGTATCAGCTACTTAATTTTTGTTAACCAAAATCGCAAATTAAAACAAAACTGTTGTCAAACATACAAACAAACCCGTGCTGATATTTTCAGACTCATGCTTTGATATGGTCAAAGTTTTAAATGTCGGGTCTAACAATAAGTAGTGCAAGATGGCATTGTGCTTCCGACGTTCACCATGTGCAAACGTGTTCCCGCGAGTAGGATGACGCGAAAGGGGAGAATTTTGCGCATGACTGATGCACGCAGAGCACAACATAGTAAGTTCCTTGACTCTTCGAGATTGACTGTTGCTGGTTGAAAACTGCTAAATAGAGGAGCTTTTGTTATTTGGCATCACAAGTACTTGCTCTGCCGTCGAACAGCTTCCATTCTTGACTTCAGGAGACTGCTCAGCATATTACGACGCTGAAATGTTTTCATGGATGTTTCGCAATACAACTTGCGGATATATATAGTCGTCCTCCCCCCACTAGACACCCAGTGGACGATTTCAAATTTGAACTGGAGCATTCTGATTGCGGCAGAGCGCGGCAGATTCGGCTTTTCATTCAAACTCAAAGTTTTTCTTTGCATTTCTCCGACGTTTTATGCAATTTTTTGAATGCTAACAGTCTTCTTAGTTGAGATTGGAGATTGTATTGCTTTTGAGGAATGTTTCGTGCTGTTTTTTCAACTTTATTTGAAAATAGAGCTAGAGAGAAGCATAAGGTATGAAACATCGCTAAACAACAACAAACTCGTCAATTCTGATTACAAACGCCATTGAGATAAATGAATTACCATGCAACGACGAGAAATACAAGAACACTGCAAGAGCTTGAAACGAATTTGACGGTGCCGCGCTCTGCCGCAACCGGCGTGCTCTAGTTCACATTCGAATTCGTCCACTGGGTTTCTAGTGGGGGGAGGACGACTATAGCAATGTTTGACTCAATTTCCGTTCATGGAGTGTGCACAAGCATTCTCATATTTTCGCTCGATACTACTACATTCTGCTGCATAAGAAGAAAAATAAAAGTAAATCTCGCTTTTTCAAAAAGTCCAACCTTCTTTTTGTGCATGCCTTGACAATGACAAAGTTACAGCTATCATGACAAACAAGTGGTGTAAGGACCAAAATGGAATTAACCTTGTTAAAGAAGAACACTCGATTTTATGCACAGGTAAGCAATATTGTATTTTTTACGGCTGCGAATGTCCTTAGAACAACCCTAGAAGCTTATTTTGCAAATATGCAATTGATAATTTAGGGCTGTATTCAAGGTACCATGCTATTCACAACTATCATTTCCTTTGTTTGATTTCCCGATTTGCAACAACACGATTGCAAGTATTTGTCACGACAACCTTGACTTGGGAATTGCTGCACTCCACCAACGGGTACGGCTTTCACCTGACATCACAATTTGAAACATCTAATATTGCAGATTCATCATCATTCTCTTCAACAAACCTCTTCGAGAAAAATTCTTCAAAATGAGGAGACTGAAGAGCTTTGCCCCATCTATCAAAAAAGTGCAAGCATCAACTGTCACAACATAATGTGTCGTGACTGAGCTTGCTTCTTCGTTATTCGTATTTATGTAACTTTCTTTATGTTCACTACATTCCTATACTATGTTGGTTGAGTAGGAGTTCTCAACATTTGCAGTGGTATGCTATTGCGCTGCATACCTGTCTACCCCTTATAATTATGAGATGATGAAAGTTTGCAAAGCCAACCGCAATTTTACATCTAGACCTTGTTTGTGTTCAGTCCTGATGTGCAAATAGAGCAAATCTGATTTTTTGTAAATTTGAATAAAGTCATTTTTGCAATATAATTTAAAGAAGCGCGAAAACTTTTGATAGAATGGAGTAACCGAAGACTAGACACTCAGGTTGTCTCACAGTTTATGATTTTCTGATAATGCCGCTCTGTGAAGATATAAAAATATAGAAAACATATAATTTAAAGAGCCGGTGCAATTTCTACAAGATGGCGTTTGCACAACTGGAAGCTTGATCCACGAGATTTGTAAGAAAAAATATAAAAAAATTTTGACATACAGGGTAAAGTATGTATACACTGTTTGATCGTTAATATCTTTCTTCCCAACAAGTATTTTGCCTTGCTTCAGGTACCGCTTTGTAGAGCTGGCTTCAACTTAGATTGACAGTATGGAGCTAATTACCGATCGCTCTCCATTACTGTAGGATTATGGTGGGAATTTCAAGATGGGTTTTTACCGCTTCGAATTGAGACCTGTTCAAAAAAGGATCTCATAGTTGGATAATTTTTCGCTTAGCAAATTAGGCTCGATGGGGTAGTTTCAATTATAAGCGGCGCATGCTATTGTAGACCTTAGTTCAAAGAATACGGTAATTACACTGTACCACAGCCTTAAATTGAAATTTTTTGTTGAAAAGAGGCCCAGATAGCTGGATGTTTTCTCTCTATGTAAATTAGGATCGGCTATCTCGAAATGAGCGTTACGCATTGTCATAGGTTTTCGTTCACGTGCTAGAGTGGCTGTAGTGTACTTACTAACAAATGTTGGTCTCATTGAGTTTCCAGACACTCAGATACGAGCAATCCTTACACAGCTTGAGTCTGACGACATCTTTCGAAACGTAAACGTCAAGACTTGCCTGCAATGATGAGCATAACTTTAGCCATCCCCCCCCCCTCCCCTCCTTCTAGGAAAAATCTTCACGAAGCAAAATTGAGTTTTGAAAATTTTTAAGAGATCTGGGATTTCATTCCGAAAATCTGTGGTCCTATTTTCGAGGCCCAAACAACTACTAAAAATTGCTCTATGTTTGTTGCAGAGCCTGAACAGTAAAGATGAATGTTGGCAAATTTCTACAAACTGTTAAGCATACATGTGGAAAGTGTTCCCACGGTCTCTAGTTAAAGAGTGGATGATATTTGATTGTTGAAAATTCCATCATGGATAGAAGCAGATAAACTCTTGAACAGAGGAGATTTGTGTTGGAATGCTACTGGAGGACAAGAAATACAGAGAGAATTCACGAGAGAGTTCCAAGCAGCACCTCCACATAGGATCACCATCACGAGAATCGTAAACAACTTTGAGGAGGAGTACACAATGCAGGTCAAACGGCGTCCAGGAAGATCAGACCTGTGTAATGACGCTGAAACATCGTATGTGTGCTTGGAATTTTTCATCGATCTCCTAGAAAATCGGTAAGTCAAGCCGCACGAGAAACAGGGGTAGGAAAATCGACAGTGCATAAGATTCTGAAGAAAAACAAATGGAGAAGTTACATTCCACGGCTTCTGCAGGCATCAAATGTGGACAATGCACTTCGAAGGCATCGATTCTGCGAGTGGTATCTCGGTCACTCCTCCGCAGACAAGATCATTTGGAGTGACGAAGCAACAAAGTGAATGTAACGATAAATCGCCACAACTACAGTTACTGGGCTGAAGATAATCCGCACATTTTTGAGACAAAGCATGTCAATCTACCAGGTTTGATCGGCCCTTTTTCCTTCGAGGGCACGGTAACTGGAGCTGCTTACCTGGCTTACTCAAAGAACATATTATCCCACGCATCCAGGAGGTGTTTGGCGAAGCGACTTTTTACTTTCAGCAAGATGGAGCTCCTGCTCACTATCACCGAGACGTTGTCCTCTACTTGATTCAAGTCTTTCCGAATCGTTGGATTGGCCGCAGCGGTCCGATGGAATTTCCCCCGCTCTCCAGACTTGACTCCTTTTTTTTCTTATGGGGGTACCTCAGAGATAAGTCTATGCAACGAAACTAGTAACCCTGCAGCAGCTTCGCGACGAGATCGAGAGGCAGTGCCGCTCTTGAAGAGGAGAATTTAACCTATGAAGTCGCAACATGATTCATGTAATTCTGAAGAAGTTATGAGCTGAAAAACGGTTTTTACCTGCTTTTTCAAGAGTCTGGATCTCGGCGATGTTTCAATGGATCGGTACAGTTAAGACACATTCTAATAGGGCAAACCTTACTCTACAGAATCTAGAAGTCGCAATATCACGTACCTTCAAAGTCCGGATTTATAAGAGTTTAAATGTCAGTTGTCATTAGGCAACCTAAAATCGCAGGATTTTTCGAAATTCTCGTTCTCGGCAGCCACTCCTTGAAGGCACCGTCCACCCAAAATTTCGACCTCCATGTATTTGCCGTTCCAGGGCCTTTTCATACACCTGATTCCGAATATCAAGTTGAAAATCCGCGAAAACCACGAAAAACCCCCGTTTTAGAACCCGCAGAGCGATTTCTTCGGTACGGTGATTGGTTGGGCGCGCACGGATGGGCGGGACGAACGTCACGCCCACTCCGAAAGGGGAGGAGCCAGCGTCGCGAACGCTGCCTGAAGCGATTTCCGAAGTAATTTTCTCGGTTCGGAAGCAACTTCAGGCAGCGCGAATTGGGCAATCATACGTTTGGGGGCCCCGCATCTGCTAGGTATCATAATCTCACCAACCCCAATTTGGGTGGACGGTGCCTTTAAATCAAACTGATTTTTTCAATATCTGGTAGAACAACACTTACCCTTTAAAACCTATGAAGTCGCAATTGCTGACGTCTTCAACCAGCAGATTTATAACAATGGAATTATCGCGTGATTTTTCATTCGAAATTCTGTTTCTCGGCAGTTACTGCCTGGATCGATCGACTTTCTTCGCAGTACGTCATAGCAAAACTACTTGATAAAACACATATAGTCTAGCTGAGTATCACTCACAAATACACTATTTCATTAACACGTTTATTTGAAATATTTATGCAGTTGTACTAATCGTATTTGTGGCCCTAGAGAGAGCCGTTGGGTTAAAGCTCTTCAGCTATCCGAACTCATCATGAAGCTTTGCTCTAAAGTAGAAAGTGCTACGGCGTATATGCGTCCATGTTGTTGATGGCCTCCAGGTGCTAGCAGTGAGCGACGGCGACTTCTTAAAGGTAAGTTACATAGAATACGCTCTCAATACTTTCTTTTGCGTTCGTCTTGCTTAATTTCCCTTTTTCAGTTTCAGCGAAAAAAAATCAAAACGCAAAAGTGAACGTGGACACTCTTACCAGCTCATAAGTGAAGGTAGGCGGAGAATCGACTCCGACTATCGCACCTCTGGCTATTAGTAGTGTTCATTCGAAATCACAAGCACAAGTTTGCCTAGAAAAAAAACATCCAGCTATCAGAGCCTCTTTTTGAAAAAAATTCCACTTTAAGGTTGTACGTTGCAGTTGCCGTATTCTTTGAACTAAGGCCTACAGTAGCATGCGACGCTCATAATTAGAACTAGCTACCCTAATTTGCTAAGTGAGAGATTACCCAACTATGAGAGCCTTTTTTGAACAGGTTCCAATTCAAAGCTGCAATTACCGTATCCTTTGAACTAAAGCCTACGATGGCGCTCATAATTAGAATTAGCGACCCTAAATCATTAGCTAACAACAGTCTCACGTTTTTGGATTCTTTTTGGGGCAAGATCAAACTCTGAGTGGTTAAAAACCCATCTTGAAGTCCCACCGTAATCCTACGGTAATGGAGAGCGATCGGTGATTAGCTCCATACTGTAAATCTAAGTTGAAGCCAGCTCTACAAAGCGGTATCTGAAACAAGGCAAAATACTTGTTGGGAAGAAAGATATTAACGATCAAACAGTGTATACATACTTTACGGACACCCTGTACAAACATCAGGGCCCGTAGTAATCTACCCTACCAGGTGGCATCAAAGATGCCGGCAAGTTCGCAACCTCGCAGCATGTTCGTGTTTCGGGCGCAAGCTAAATCCTGCTTTAGAATTCTCGCTTTTTGATAAGTTTTTCTCTCCTTTTTTGTACTTCTCGAGATTGACGTCTTATTCGCCTTGATCATTCGTAGGTTCTGATAATTTCAAAAACCCGCACTCCGCTATCTTATGCAGGTGAAGTTTTGATGACGCAGGCAGCCGCAAAACACTAACATCAAGCGCGTTCGAACCTGCATGCGTCAACTTTGAGCGCCGCAGCACTAACCATTCAACCACACGGTCAGTTTTTGCTGTGTGCGGCAGCATTGATAAAACGCACAGAAAAGTCGCGCCTGTGAGAGCGCAGGATCAATACATTGCGTGATAGACATTGACCTGAAAGAACAGCTGATTGATAAGAGCAAGAGGCAGGCGAAAGCGTTGCAAACAAGATTTAAAGGAATTGCAAGAAGAGGATGGCGCTCATTTTGGTTATGTGATATAACCATTTATTTTCTTCTACAGATATATCAAGAATTTAAACAAGAAAAAACCCATATAATGGTAAAAATCATGGTTTTTGATAGAAAATGAACTTTTCTGATCCTTTTGCTTGACGTAAATTGTGTGATATTGCCGCACGCAATTTCACAGACGCCGCCGACAAAGATGCCGGCATCTGGACGTGGTAGGGGCACGTCCACATGCCGGCAGGTCGTACTCCACAAACTACGCACTATTTCCTGCACTCTCTGACCTGCCGGCAGGCTGCGAGCTGGATGGCATCTCAAATTTCGACAAAAATGGATCGCGAACCTGCCGGCAGGTTCA